ACTTTTGGGGTGTGTGCTAATTTATTTGAGACTCCCGGCCCTTTAATCACGGGGGGGGGGTTCTGTCCTAGGAGCCGTTGAATGAAGTGAAAGTCACTTAACAGCTTATAGTGTTTGTTTACATTGTATTAATTACTTTAAGAACAAAGTTAGTTAACTTGTTTGTAAGTTTTACATAGTAGTAAAGTATCTTTCACAGGATAGATATAATCAATGGTTTCTACAGACAGTAGCTTACAAGTTTTAACAGAAGACCCAAGAGATTTTTGTACTTGGTGAAACTGTTGGATTTTAAAGTGTGGGGGACAAATTATGAGGGGGTCACTGTCTCTTGGGGGAATCACTGTTAGTACCTTCTTTAATATCCCTACATAGTTTCAATTTATGCACTGAATGAGGCAGGGATTCTGTGGAAAAAAATCGTATGTCATGTAATGCACAATTAAAGACAATAAGACATCCACAAGAGGGCAGAATTAAAAGTTGCACAGACAAGCTTAATTTGGGCGTTTCCTAACTTTAATGATTTTCTTGTAAGGCAGAGTTCTTGTGGCATAGGTTGGAGCTATGATGTACATGTATTAGGGGTTGGATTAGGTTACTATAGAAAGGGCACACCCTTCTCCTGGCTCGATCAGCTCCTTCAGAATCTACATTTTCATTTACAATTTTTTTAAAGCTTGTACCTCTTTGATTGCAAATATATCCATCTGAACATGAACAGACACAGTGCTCAAATGTGCAAACAGACTGAAGCTATAGCTCCCAAGAGTAAATTTGCCTCATCTCCACCAAAGGCCCTAAAAGCACTCGGCTCTATGGGATTGGTGGTAGGAAGGGTTGTGCAAGAGGACTCCCCATAGAGATGTGGTTTATTAATATAGTGTGGGGAATAGCCAAAGGAGCTGCAGTTATGTGGATTGAAAAATAACCCCCCTCTTCAGGAATGCACAGAGAATCAGTTGCTACTATACAATCCATAGCCTGTAGTAAAAGCAGATAAATGGCTCCAAAACCACTGAGTTGGAAGGAGAATTCCTTTTCTCTTAGCACTACTTGATACTCAGCTTTTTCACTGGACATGGCACAGGGAGCAACATTTGCTCCTAAGATAGATGCAAGCAGACTGACCCTATTTGACACAACTGGGTGTTAACGCTGAAATTTAATTACCTCCTTTTTAATGTCAACTTTGTTAACTATTTCACGGTTGAATACTTTAGCAGACATATCCAGCTACTCCAGGATTGTGGATGGAGTTTGAGATTATGAGGGTAGGAATGTGAACAGACTACCAGCACCTTTTGCCTTCCCTTGGGAAGTTTTAAAGATGGCAGAATAGACTACATAAGAAAAAAGACCAAGATACAATCTTTATTATGCTGTTCCATACTTTATGTTTTTCAATAATATAGACATAGACTTTTCTATCTGAAAGTTTTCCTGCTTACATTTCACATTTTAAAAAGTCATTACTAACAAAGTAATGTCACATCTGTAGTAGCATGCTGTCACATCAATCGTAACATTGACTTACATATAGTCTGCTGCTCAGTGGCAATTTTGGCCGAAGGCAGTGCACCCACATTTCTCATTGGAAGTGCACACTTTCATTTAGAGAAAGAAAAAAGATTGTATCCAGAGAATGGTAAAATAAAAATAAGTTACTTCAGTGATTTGCTAGTATATTATGACACTTCTAATCAGTCTGAACGGGCCATGTTACATTATGATCTATAAAGTTATATACTATCTACATCTGTTATATTATGGTTATGAGAGATATTAAAATTATTTGGAAACTGGAAGAAATATTCAAAATGTATTGTTAAAAGCCTCACTACTCACAAAGGGTGAAATTCACACCTGTACAGGGGGACAACAAGAGGCTTATGTACCACTCAAGTCCAACTTAAGTCCTTGTACTTGTCCTCTACACGGGGTAAATTGTACACAATGATTGGGGTCTGATTCCATTCTCACTGAAGTCATGTCATTAACTGTAAAAGGAACAAGTCTGGGCATTTACATAGGAAATCAAACTTTTTTGTGAGTAATTAATGGTGGCTAGGTATGAAAATATTTTTCCACTAGCTGGCAGGTAGCCCTATATTTCAGTGTCTGAATTCCAGCTGAGCCTTCTGTCACATCCCTATTTTGATACACTGTCTTCAGTGCCTTTGAAAAATAAAACAGACTGCAGCTGCTAAATAGTTGAAAACTTCATGGTACTTAAGAGAGGCCAGATTTCAAATTTGGATGCCAACAGTGGTGCTTAAATGCCTAAAATAGGTATTTGTGTGCCTATGTACTGACGTGAACATAAAGATGCAGAACTGGAGGCTCTAATTGAGTGCAAAACTTCAAAACTGGCTCCAGAGTATAAAAATCTGTGATTTTTAAAGATTGTTTAGACTATGGCTTACAGGTGGTTATGTGATATTAAATCATGTTTGCTACTAAACATCATTCAAATTTGTTCTATTTAATTTTATACTTGATATCCTTCTATGCCTTGTCTACAGAGGAGATTTATTATGGATAATAACTGCTGTAGCTGTCCTAGTCCAAGCCCTAGGGTGAAATCCTGGCTCTACTGAAATCAGTGGCAAATCTCCCACTGAGCCAAGATTTCACCTTGGTGTATGCAGGCTTAACTACTATAAGCAGTAACTTTTATTTACTTTGGTTTCAAGCAGGGGTAAGCTGCACTATTGCAAGTCATAGTTTATAGCAGTTTTGCCTGTCTTCATTAGGGCTTTGCACTAATCCAACTACACTGGTGTTAGCTGGTTACTGATGGCCGAAATTCCCAATGTAGACAAGACCTGAGAAGCTACAAATAAAATCTCATTTTCTAAACATTTTGTTCTTCTATGTTTGGGATTCATTGTTAATATTATTGTATTTTCTCAATTGATCCTGATACTAATAAGTGCAAAGTAATACTAATCATTATTACATACTTATTTTACTATAAAGACTTGCTTATTTGTATAATAGCATCATCAATGAAGCTGGCAGTTTTAGAAATAGGTTTTGTTAATTAAGTTGTGCTCCTTCATTTAGCTGACTCTAGTGTAAGAAAGCAATATTTAAAAGAAAAATCTCAGCATCAAAATGTTGCAATTTGAGACTATGTATCTATATTAAATGAAGAGGCTATTTCCCATCAGATTACACAATTATAAGAAGTAGATTTTCATGCCTAAACTACAATAATGACTTGGCAATTTCCCTTTAAACTAAACAGAGAGTAAAACCTTAGGATAAACATCCTGAAAATCTGCTGAATAACAATGATGTGCTATATAGTTAAGGAGACCCTTCCATGGCTAGTATCTCAGAGTGTTGTACATAAGACACATAAAAAAACCCCGATAAATTATGTTTATTATTGTGTAATTATTATGTATTCAAAAATAACACATGAAACATTTAATGATCATTTTAGAGAACTACAGTCTATTACTGGTACAGTATAAAACTTTAGCAGTGGAGGCACATGGCCATGTTTATCACATTAACCCTGATTATTAAAATTGGAATATTGGGTCAAGGATATATTGGCTTCTTTGCCACCCACTTCTATTTCCTGCTTTCCCAACAATGATGCCTACCATTGGTGGTTACATTTCTTTTCATGATGCTGTCCTCCACAAAGTGGGCAGTCCATGCCATCAGGGCCTACTGGCCCACATATCCTTCGTAGCAGTGAATTGGCATCTCTGGGTGAGGTTGCCTGAGGAATTGTTTTTATATGGACCAGTGGACTGTGGCAGAGGCAGAAAGGACACATTTGATGAAAACTTTAATTTCAGTTCAGATTACCCAAATATTAGTTGTGCTGATACATGACAAAGAGAAAGTGCCATTCAAAGCAATAAATCCAAAAGATCTAATGTTCGACACAGGTTAACCAAAATTTGGTACATGCAGAAGGGTAATCACTGATGATAGCCATAGCTTGTGACTAATCAGCTTTGATGATGTTTTATGCCAACTGGAAATCCAGAGGAGATATTACCCCCAATGAAGCTCACACTTTACCACTATTCAAGATTAATCATTATCATAGATGCAACCTGAATGGGAAAGAAAATGCAAAAATATTAGTATTGTATAATAATTTACTACTACATAGATTTAAAAAAGTGATTCATTTCAGCTACATTACATGTAACAATTACTATATTGTTTGAAATGTGCAACATACCATCAGCAATATCATCGTAGATATCTCCATCACTGTGAATTTAGGAAGAGAAAAATATATTTTATCTTAAAAAAACTCATATAGTATATATTATCATTTGCAAGTAGATACAAAATCAGGTAGCATGGTCTAGACCCATATCAAGTAATTAAACATGGTTAAGGAAATACTGTATTTATACATAGACTTCAGATATTTCTATATTTGGAAGGATCATTCTGAAATCAACACAGGTGGAGAGGACAACATACTCAAGGAACTTAAGAATAGACATGGATAACATTTTTTAGAAAATGGCTTTTTTCAAACACAATAATGTAAGAAAAAATTATGACTTTAAAAAAATCATCATTTTTGTGGCTACTTTTACAAAATGTTCATTTAAAATGAAATGGTCATTGATTTTTATTTTATTTTTTTAACCAATAAATGAAAACAGTAGTAGAGGGAATCATCATATCCTTAACTTTCTCAAAAGATGCTCAGCAATATAATAACGGGACTGGAGAAAGTAAATGCTAGACAACACATTTAGCTAATGTCCATCTACAAATAGTACATACTCTCCAAAGAGTATATTTTCAAAACAAGTTATTTACTTATGCACTTATTTATGTAATTGAATAGTCCCATTGGCTTTAACGGGACAACTCACATGTTTAAAGTTAAGTGCATGTATAAGTGTGTGCAGGGTTGAGGCCTAAATCTGTCATCTAATTTGGTGTTTAAGGGCCTGATCCACACCCCACTGAAGTCAATGGAAAGACTCCCATTTACTTTTATGGGCTTTGGATCAGACCCTAAATGCTGAACCCAGTGCAATAGACTGCGTATTGGAAGCAGAAATACTGAGCCAAATTCTGCTTTGGGTTACACCTGTGCAGCCCCAGTGGAATTATACAGAAGAAAACTAGAGGAGAAATTGGTCTAATATATTTAAACATTTGAAATTGCCATCATTTTAATTAATGTGCAGTTAAATAATGGTTATTATAATATTCAAATTATGGATTAAGACGTGTTTTGTGTAATTTTTCAGTGCCGAGTCCTGAATTTTTCAATGCTCAGTCAATAATACAGGAGTGGTTCCGTAGATAATTTCAAACACAAATGTGGGAAGCATAAGCTTCATAACCAATCTAGCAATAAACTCATACAATAAAATATTTTATTTTCACTTTTAGTTGTACAATGAGTAGTTAACAGCAAAACTGAATATGTTATGACAAGTTTCCAGAAGATCATTTAGTACTTACTTCTCCACTAAACTGCGTCTTGGGACATAGCCATCTGTAAAATTAAATATACATATATATATATATTTAATTTCAATTTCAATTTATGTTATATTTCTTGTGTTCCCCAGAGAAGGGCATTTTTTAATACATAAAATAGAAATGTACTGTATATACCCACGGTACAGTAAAAAGGAAGAGGTTGTAATTATGGAGAATTTACACACATGATACTGAAATCAATTTAAAGTGATTAATTCATCATTAATTATTATTATTATGAGAAGTAGCAGTAGTAGTAGTATATTATGGTGGCACCTAGAGGTCACAATCAGAGATCAGGGATCCATTGTGCTATGCACCGTACAGGCACATAAGCTGTAATTTTTCATGTCATTGTAATGAATTTCCATTGCTCAGACACCTAGTGTTATTTAGCAGATGTGTGAAATAATGTCAGATTGCACAAGTTTTAACAGTATTTACAAAATGTGTCTTGTAACCAAATAACATTTTCTTTTACCAGATGTTTCAAAAAGACTGAATACCTGCAGGCTCGGGCTGCAAAACTACCCGTCAATCCACAAAAGGTGACTCAGACTCATCAGTAGGTATACTTAGAGCCAGACTGTGACACCCATACTCCCACTCACAAGAGTAGCCTCATTAAAGTAATTTAATGGTGTTTAATAGAAGCTTACCTAATAATTAAGAGATATCTGTACAGTACAGTGTAAAACTACATGATTAAATGAGGCTCCTTTTCTTGATTGCGTCAATAACCTGAATTTAGTCTCAGTATTCATTAATTTTTATAGGGCTGTCAAGCGATTAAATTAATCGTGATTAATCAAGCTGTTAACCAATAATAGAATACCATTTATTTAAATATTTTTGGATGTTTTCTACATTTTCAAATATATTGATTTCAATTACAACACAGAATGCAAAGTGTACAGTGCTCACTTTATATTTATTTTTGATTACAAATATTTGCACAGTAAAAAACAAAAGAAATAGTATTTTTCAATTCTCCTAATACAAGTACTGTAGTGCAATCACTTTATCATGAAAGTTGAACTTGCAAATGTAGAATTATGTACAAAAAATAATGCATTCAAAAACAAAACATTGTAAAACTTTAGAACGTACAAGTCCACTCAGTCCTATTTCTTGTTCAGCCAATCACTCAGACAAACAAGTTTGTTTACATTTGCAGGAGATAATGCTGCCTGCTTCTTGTTTACAATGTCACCTGAAAGTGAGAATAGGCATTTAACCCGGCACTGTTGTAGCCGGTGTCGCAAGATATTTACATGCCAGATGTGCTAAAGATTCCTATGTCCCTTCATGCTTCATCCATCATTCCAAAGGACGTGCCCATGCTGATGACAGATTCTGCTCGATAATGATCCAAAGCAGTGCGGACTAATGCATGTTCATTTTCATCATCTGAGTCAGATGCCACCAGCAGAAAATTGATTTTCTTTTTTGGTGGTTCGAGTTCTGTAGTTTCTGCATTGGAGTGTTACGCTTTTAAGACTTGTGAAAGCATACTCCATAACTCGTCCCTCTCAGATCTTGGAAGGTACTTCAGATTCTTAAACCTTGGTTGAGTGCTATCTTTAGAAATTTCACATCAGTATCTTCTTTGTGTTTTGTCAAATCTACTGTGAGTGTTCTTAAAATGAACAACATGTGATGGATTATCATCTGAGACTGCTATAACATAAAATATATGGCAGAGCCGGAGACATACAATTCTCCCCCAAGGAGTTCAGTCACAAATTTAATTAACGCATTATTTTTTTAACAAGTGTCATCAGCATAGAAGCTTGTCCTCTGGAATGGTAGCCAAAGAGTGAAGGGTCATATGAATGTTTAGCATATCTGGTACGTAAATACCTTGTAATGCCAGCTACAAAAGTGCCATGCAAATGCCTGTTCTCACTTTCAGGTGACATTGTATCTCCTGTAAATGTAAAGAAACTTGTTTGTTTTAGCGATTGGCTGAACAAGAAGTAGGACTGAGTGGACTTGCAGGCTCTAAAGTTTTACATTGTTTTGTTTTTGAGTGCAGTTATCTAACAAAAAAATCTATATTTGTAAGTTGCACTTTCATGATAAAGAAATTGCACTACAGTATTTGTGTGAGGTGAATTGAAAAATACCATTTCTTTTGTTTACCATTTTACAGTGCAAATATTTGTAATAAAATAATATAAAGTTATTGAAATCAATATATTTGAAAATGTAGAGCAACATCCAAAAATATTTAATAAATTTCAATTGGTAGTCTATTGTTTAATAGTGTGATTAAAACTATGGTTAATTGCAATTAATTTTTTGACAGCCCTACTCGACAGCCCTAATTTTTTATTTTCAAAGTATTGTTAAGACAAATTGGTTTATATATATATACAGAGAGATGGACACACTCATATTGTGGTGCATGATAACAGAAACTACTGTGACTGCTGTACTGGACCAGAAAATAAAAATGGCACTTTTAAAAATGTATTTGTCAGGCCTAAGTAACAGAAATGTGGCTTGTTACTGGGACAAAAATATTCTTGGAGTTGTGTGGAAAAGTTAATTTATTGGGTGACTATAATTGTTTGAACTTTGTTAATAGACAAGATCAATAAAAAACTCAAAATATAAGAATATAAAATAAATTGAGAAGAGCTTTTCATCAATGAATAAAAATAACATTTTCTTCCGTTACTGCTGGATCAAGAGACAACTATACACAGGATATTTTAATCCCTTTGAAAAAATGTCTTGCTGACTTTGGTAAAAAATATCTGGTATTCTAATTCTTATATAATGCTAATCCCTATAGTATCTGAGCACTATTGGAGGATCAGTTATGAAGGAGAAATTCCCAAGATTCCCAATTCATTACAGTCCTTGGGGAGAGTCAGTCCATAATTATTTTGTCTAATTTGGTTTAGATTACCCCTACACTACAGTATCTGATGACTCAAATCCAATTAGAAGAGATGTCACCTTGACTGCATACAAGACACAAGGAGGCAAACTCATTTCAAAACCTGTTCAGATGGCAGACTTTATGGATCCCTAAAATACACAGAATTTTAGTGTAAAGTTTTAGAACTCTTATAATAACATAAAATCTAGCAGAATTGTCACTGTGCCTTTAAATTAATACCAAACTTAAGTCTTCTCTGCATATACTACTGTTGATCTACAAAAAGGTAGTTCTTGTTATAAGTTTTCTCTTCTGCAGCAACTTGCAAACAAAGGTATCAAAGAGTTGCTAGCGTTACTAGAGAAACTCTCTATCCTCCATTTTGTATGACTAATCTCTATTCTGAATAAGCAGGAGTCACTCCACTCTGAAATGGAAGCTGCAGATCATGAGCATGCTTGTTACAAAAATCAGCTAAGTCGGTCAAATTTGGACCATGCCCAGTTAATGCAGAATAAAACGAGGTATGGCCACAAAGTAAATGGCCTAGAACATGAGCAGTGGGGTCAGGTGAGGTAATCATGGCTATGAAGTAGAAACAAAATGAGTGAGCATGTGCAAAATGAGATAATATATGGCGATGAGCATGTACAGTCTGAAGATGAGATAATGTGTGTTAGTAAGTATGCTCAATAGGGGTTAAGAATAGCACTATAAAAAAACTCTGATAAAACAGTATATAAGGCAGGAAGTTAAGACACTTGAGGGAGAAAGAGATTGGAGAGCAGGCAAAGAGGTCAGTCAGGAGCCAGTGAGAAGAGCTGCTGGAAAGGAGCAAGAAGAAAGATCCAAGGGCTTACCAAGCAAACAGAAGAGTTGCTGAGAAGATCGAAGAGTTCCACAGAGAGAGAGAGAGTTTAGAATCCTGAGAACAACACAGCTGAGAAAAGCCACTTCAGTAGCAAGTAGCAGCAACATTTGTAACAATGCAGCAGAATCACCGGACAGTAAGCTTGTTATTTTAAACTATTGTTTAGCATAAGTATAGTATACTTAGTATGAGTGAATGTTTGAATGAATTGTTGTTAATTATAATTTTCTTATGTAAAACTTATATTTTAAGTTAAGAATTGTTGTCAGTGATCTATTGCAGACTGATCACCTGTAATAGAGCGCATTGCTTAGAATCATTTAAACTGTATGCTATTGTGGTTTAAATGCTCTTTAACTTGCAATAAGGGATTTGTAGCTTATTTAGGATTTTAGATTACATTATAGTAGGGATTATTACTTACATTAATAAAAAGATACTTTGTTTTGGAAAATATACAACTTGTGTCAATCACTTTAGCGGAAGGTTACATCTGTGTCCTTCAAGTGTTTCCTTAGCTACCCTGGATACCCAAACTCCAGGAAGAGCAGATTAAGGGGGCAATAGGCAAGTTATTCTGGGGGCACCCAAAAGCCTAAATTTGGGGGTAACACTAGCAATAGAGATTGATACCATAATTTGGGAGTTGCTGGCAGAAAAGAGAACCTATAACAAGATCTGCTTACATGTAGATCAACAATAGTACATGTAGAGAAGGCAAAAGTTTGGTACTAATTTAAAGGTTCCTTTTTAGGGAGACTGTATCTTGGGAACCCATTGCTCAAATGAACCCAAATTTGAACCACTAACCCCATCTTGCACGTCCATGAGTGCAATCCAAGTAAACAAGTGGATTTTAGAGCACTTAGAATAGTCATTCTTTAAATATTAAGTGACTTTCAACCTTAACTATAGCAGAGTTGCCATTTTGCTATAGTGAAGAAATTTTGTCAATGCAAAATCAAATCTTAGAGAACCAGATACATCTACAGCTATTGTTGAACTAGGAATAGAGACACTCAATGGAAGAATCTTTTAAAAAGTAATTAGTCAAATTATGAAATAACAGAGAATTAGTATTTTTATTTCATGGGAAGTTTAAATGTTAAGGACTACATTCTCAGGTCTGGCCAAGACTCAAAGGAAGGCAAAGATGGCTTTCCAACACATTTGAATTGCCTTGATCTTGGGGCTGGCAGGGGAGGTGGTCTGACCCAGCACAACTTAGAGCTCGGAGCTGCTCTAAATT